GGTCTATGGCGTTACGAGCCAATGCTTTAACCACTAGGCTACCCCACCGCCCCACATATGTTGGAAATTTCAATGCTTATTTTTATGGAGATATGCAGCTTATCTAGACTCTGTTCCTTCATTATGAAACCGTTCTAATCAGTGTAAGGTTGTTTTGCTTTCACAAACTGCAAACAATAGTCAGCCATTCAAATGTCAGCTAAATATTTGCAGTACCTTTTGCCGTGCCTTGCTGACAAGGATCAGAAACACACTATGCTATTTAGAGTTAATGCAATCCCACATCAGATTTTTGTAAGAACTTCGATGCGGGGAAGAATCAAAATGTCTAGGAAAGATAATTTGGTCTGAATGTGATGCAAGAAACCACACTCTTTTATTTTGAAATGTCAGAGGAGGAACTCCTACAGAAGACAACCCTAAGATGCGTGGCAAGATAGAGTTCTTGCGGAAACACTGTGTCATGTTACATTACAACAGTTTCAGACTCAAGCAGACTGGAGCAGGTGGGCCTGGAAATAGGATAAAACAAAACTTCAGTGTACGTGTGAATTGTGAGATGTAATGCGACAGTACGATACTAAGATATATTACTTTCTGTATTGGTACAAGAGTGAGTGAGTTTAGTTTTAAGCCGCACTCAACAATATTCCAGCTATATGGCAGCGTTCTGTAATTAATCTAGTCTGGACCAGATAATCCAGTGATCAACAGAATGAGCATCGATCTACGCAATTGGGATACGATGACATGTGTCATTACTGTCAACCAAGTGAGCGAGTCTGATCATCCGATCCTGTTAGTCGCCTCTTACGACAAGCACAGGCTAGTGAAGATCAGTTCTAACCCGGATCTTAATGGGTGTACTCATTTGATGACCTGGCATATTTGTCTCTCAAGATTTGCAAAGTGTGATAAACATTTCACGTCTGCTGCAAGCTTTTCCTGTTGAAACTGTTCTGAAATGCGTGTAGTCAAGATGCTCTGACAAGTTATCTGACTTCCGTATTTGTGGAAGATATGGCGGCTGAGTGGGTTAGATCGCTGACTTTGTGTTCTGGTGATTATGTGCCTCACTCTGAGGAAATGGATGCCAATCAAAAATGGGACTCTACCCCAAACAATACTAGATGCAGTACTGTACTGAAAAAGTGCAATTCCAAATATCACATGTTGTTACATTGTTATATTGAAGATGTTTCCACGTGATGCAACGTAAACATGCATATCAGGATACATATTGCATCATGACCAATGTATCATGATACATACCGCATCATGACCTATGTATCATGATATATATTGCAGCATGACATATGTATCACGATACATATTGCATCATGACCTATGTATCACGATACATATTGCATCATGACCTATGTATCACGATGCATATCGCATCATGACCTATGTATCACGATACATATTGCATTATGACCTATGTATCATGATGCATATTGCATTATGACCTATGTATCACAATGCATATTGCATTATGACCTATGTATCACGATGCATATCGCATCATGACCTATGTATCACGATACATATTGCATCATGACCTATGTATCACGATACATATTGCATCATGACCTATGTATCGATACATATTGCATATGACCTATGTATCATGACCTATGTATCATGATGCATATTGCATTATGACCTATGTATCACAATGCATATTGTATTATGACATATGTATCCTATGTATCACGACATATACATATTGTATTATGACCTATGTATCACAATACATATTGCATTATGACCTATGTATCGCATCATGACCTATATGTATCACGACATATTGCATCATGACCTATGTATCATGATACATATTGCATCATATTGATACATTTTGCATTATGACCTATGTATCACAATACATATTGCATTATGACAAATGTATCACGATACATATTGCATCATGACCTATGTATCACGATACATATTGCATCGTGACCTATGTATCATGATACATATTGCATCATGACCTATGTATCATGATACATATTGCATTATGACCTATGTATCACGATACATATTGCATTATGACCTATGTATCACGATACATATTGCATCGTACCTTTGCTGTATTGGTTCACCCCACCTGGAAACATATATATTCTCCATGAAAAGCTTCAAGGGCTTGAGCATATTTTTCTTGAAACTCCAGGTTAGCCTCTGTCAGTGTTTGGCCTCAACCCTAAAAAGCTGCAGGCCCTAAGGACCCAGAACCATAACATGTTGTGGGTCCTGATCAGAATGTGTAGGCCCTATATTTTAGCTACAATATAAGTAATTCCCAGCAAACAAAATATATTTACTAAATTGCTTCCATGAAAATAATAGGCATTTCACTTACAGACAACAGCTGCTGATCGAGATAAAAACTAGAAAGTAATGAATGATATTTTCTGAAAACTAATACTCTTGGTTATTGGGGATGAAAAAGCTGTCGGCCATAATGACCTGCAGACAAAAGCTGTAGGTCCGAGTGGTTTTCAGTCGGCTTCGGGCTGCTCTGTGTTGTGCCAGGTGAGTTGTACGTTTGAACCTATCACTGATTCCATCTCAACTTCAGTGTGTCATGCAGTCTAACATGGTACAAAACTTGCATGGGCTGAAATATGGACTTGTCCGGTTTCACAGTCGCATATACCACCTTAAAGAATTGCTTCCAGGATGTTCAGCATGTTCAGCTCTTGTCATCGTGTCCCCACAAATCAGTGTCATGAGGCAATCAACCCGAAACCCCTAGTTACACTTCTTCTGTGTTAACTGCATTAATCTTCTTTCTGTACAGTGGAGCATGCACAACCATCACGTTCTGTTGCTTTTGCCTGTCATCCGTTAACTTATTCTCAAGGATATGCGGGCAACTCCTGATTCCTGTCTTGTCAGGTGGTACCTCCTGGTTCCTGTCAGTAAAGTCAAAGGGTGTCTCAAGATTCTCAGTGGGCGGTGGGGGTAGCCTTGTGGTTAAAGCGTTCGCTCGTTATGCCGAAGACCCAGGTTCGATTCCCCACTTCGGTATAATGTGTGAAGCCCATTTCTGGTGTCCCCTGCCGTGATATTGCTGGAATGTTGCTAAAAGCGTTGTAAAAGTATGCTCACTCACACACTCACTCACTCACTCACTCACTCACTACATCTTCAGTACAGTTAGAATGATAGAATGAGCCTTCAGTAACCCATGCTTGTCGTAAGAGGCGACTAACGGGATCCGGTGGTCAGGCTCGCTGACTTGGTTGACACATGTCATCGGTTCCCAATTGCTCAGATCAATGCTCATGATGTTGATTGTTTGTTTGGACTCAATTATTTACAGACCGCCGCCGCCATATTGCTGGAATATTGCTGAGTGCAGCGTAAAACTAAACTCACTCACTCACTACATTCTCAGTACAGTTAGGGTACAGACTAATCTTCTCCCTGTTCAGTGCAACTTTAAGTGACTGATGATAAAGACTTTACTGTTTCACTACGCCTTTAGACAGAATTCTACTGTAACATTTAATGGCTGATGCTATCTCTTCCATCCCTGCCTGAATGACAGCACACAGCAATAACATTGTCTGCCCAAGTGTCTGCTGAGTAGAAGGAGATTGTAACACTTGCAAGGGACAAGTATTTCAGGCTCTCTGAATGCAGGTTCCCTTTCTTACTTGTTATTTAATACAATACATTGAATTCATTAAAGCAGTTTGTCTATTTAAGGCCTTCAGTTGGTTTTAGTGACATTTCGTTCATAAATATATGTATGTTTGTTAATATGTCTGAGAATATCTACATCATGAACATGACATTTTGTTTTTCAACTCCCCTAAATCTTGCAACAGTATCTATGGGAAACTTATTGATTTTGTCTCAAATTCCCTCCAATCTTGTTTTAGTATGGATGAAATATCTATAAGAATTTTATGTTACATCTACCTATCATAACATTTAAAAACTGGTTTAAATGCTGTCCGTTTTGAAGGAGTATGGTTTTGGAGTACTTAGAGCTAACTCTGTAGAAACATGGCTGACTGATTTGGCTGATATTTCTGTGTTGGGTCAGAATTTCTTTACTCTGTGGGACGTTGGGGTAGCCTAGTGGTTAAGGTGTTTCATATGTGTGCAATGTGTGAAGCCCATTTATGGTGTCCCCCTCCGTGATATTGCTGGAATGTTGCCATAAGCGGCGTAAAACCCAACTCACTCAATCACTCCTTACTCAGTTTTACCCATGAAGATCCTGGTTAGAATTCATCTTCAGTAACCTTGCTTGTCGTAAAAGGCGACTAATGGGATCGGGTGATCAGGCTCTCGGACTTGGTTGACACATGGCATCGATGCTCATGCTGTTGATCACTGGATTGTTTGGTCCATTTTCAATTTTTCATAAACCGCCGCTATGTAGCTGGAATATTGCTGGGTGCGGTGTTAAGCCATACTGCTTCATATTTGCCTGGGGTGGCAGAGTATCCCAGTGGTAAAGGCGTTCGCTTGTCATACTGAAGATGTGAAGATCACTCACTCACTCATACAAAATGTATTTGCCAACATGATTTGTTTTCATTATTATTCAATTTCGTTGCTCTGTTCAAACTTTCCTTAACATAATCCTCTTGAAATTATTGGGAGGAGACTATTTAGATTGTGATAATCTGTATCAAAATTGTTTCTGCAATCGGGGCGGTGGGGTAGCCTAATGGTTAAAGCGTTGTCTCGTCACGCCGAAGACCCGGGTTCGAATCCCTACATGGGCACAATGTGTGAAGCCCATTTCTGGTGTACCCCGCCATGATGTTGCTGGAATATTGCTAAAAGCGGCATAAAACCAAACTCAGTCAGTCAGTCAGTCAGTCAGTGTTTCCGCAATCTGTGTCAATATTGTTTTGGCGTTATATCTAGTATTGATATCCCAAAGTTTGGTCTGTTTTTGTATGAGCATCACATTGTATTGATTCTGTATGACAGTAGTGTTATCACAAGGTATGGTTACATTCCAGTGGCACTCGTGACTGATCCTAAGGAGCGTGTGACCAGGAGACCGTACTACCCATCAGAAGATGGGGGAGTTTGCCAGCAGCAGCGGAGGGGGAGGAGGAGCCCTCGACAGATGGGTGTGTCCCAATGACCGCCAGCTGGCCCTACGAGCAAAGTGAGTACATGTCCTTATTCTGAATGTCAGTGTGTCTATTGTAGCGAAGAACAAGACTGATGTCGCTGCACCCATTGTAGTGAAGTATTTGTGTTGCGTCATCTTTGTCTATATAACGTTTTAGGTTCCTTTAGGGGCAGTGGGGTAGCCTAATGGTTTAAGCGACCGCTTGTCACACTGAAGACCCGGTGTAGCAGGCTACATAGGCGGATCCAGAGGGGGGGGGTGCAGGGGTGCGCAACCCCACCTTTTGTGCTGAAAGTTTGTTTAATGACCATTCAAACTCGGGTGAAAATGAAGTGTGCACCCCCCTTTTGTTCAATAGTGTGCACCCGCCCTTTCTCAAAAAGCTGTATCCGGCCCTGGGCTATTTCTTCCCCGGTCTAAACTTTCCACGAGAGAATCTGGCCTAGGCCAAACTTTCCCGGGGAGGTTTTGTCCTAGGGTATTCTTACCCCGGGGAAAGTTTGTCTTGGGCCAAAGTTTCCCCGGGGAAGGTTGGGCCTGGGGGAAAGTTTGGCCTGTTACACTGGGTTTGATTCCCCACATGGGACAATGTGCGAAGCCCATTGCTGTGTCCTCTGCTGTTATATTGCTTGAAAATTGCTAAAAGCAGCATAAAACCAAACTCACTCACTCACTGACTGATGGTCCTCCTGCAGCTGTAGTCTTTGAATCTTTGGACAAGGGCAAGACCTCTTGAATTGCTCAATTTCAAACACCATTCATGAAATGTCGATGAATCTGTTTTTAGCTGCAACCTGGTCGGGATGCTATTTGTTCTTCAAACAGGAAAGGGCAATCATGGTGATGATATGATATGATATATTAGTACTTGCTTTCCGCAATCAGACAGACATGTGGATTGGGATATTTACTGTTTTTTTGTGGACAGCACTCTTGTGTTAATTCAATAGCAAGAGGGGTGGTGGGGTAGCCTAGTGGTTAAAGCGTTGGCTCATCATGCCGAAGACCCGGGTTCGAATCCCCACATGGGTTCAATGTGTGAAGCCCATTTCTGGTGTCCCCCCTGCTGTGATGTTGCTGGAATATTGTTAAAATCAGCGTAAAACCAAACTCAGTCAGTCAGTCAGTCAATAGCAAGCCATATGTGTCCAGGTCAAGGTCTAAAGCAGTGGGGCGGTGGGGTAGTCTAGTGGCTAAAGCATTGGCTCGTCACGCCGAAGACCTGGGTTCGAATTTCCACATGGGTACAATGAGTGAAGCCCATTTCTGGTGTCCCCCGCCGTGATATTGCTGGAATATTGCTAAAAGCGGCGTAAAACCAAACTCAGTCAGTCTAAAGCAGCATACACTACACCAACACCTATGTGGGACCAGTTTCTGGATGTCTCCTTCAGTCAATATTGCAGTCCCACCATGATTGTATAGATGTTAAAGTACAACAGACAGTGTAATCTGAAAAGATTAATCCCAGGAGGCAAGGTACAACCGTCTCAGGAAGATCTCTTGGAAATTGGAAAAATACATATTTTGCTAAATCACAATGAAAATGAAAAATAATGAAATGAATGGCTGCATATGAACATCTATTTCAAGAGGTTAATAGTTAGAAGAAGTATTCTTGAATATGGTATAGTGTTATATAGTTTTTAGACAAAATTATTTTTCTGGGAAAATAAGAATAAAAGAATGTGGGCTGGGAAGGGAGATTTAGAGAGTAGAGTATTTCCAGTACTGAGGTGTACTGCATCTGTACTCTAGCTTCATCCTGTTTTAGGGGCGGTGGGGTAGCCTAGTGGTTAATATATTAGCTCGTCACACCCGAAGACCCGGGTTCTATTCCCCACATGGGTACAATGTGTGAAGCCCATTTCTGGTGTCCCCTGTTGTGATATTGCTGGAAAATTGCTAAAAGCGGTGTAAAACTATACTCACTCACTCACTTATCCTGTTTTATAACTAACCTTATCTGGTAGAGGTTGGTATAGTAGTATAGTTAGTATAGTAACCTTGTCTAGTGTCCACGGCACTAGGATCAAGACAATATTTGACAGTTCCAGTAATACTGATTCTCCCCCAAATTCCTGCCCAATTTGGAAATATCTCCTCGCCAGCGTGTGAACCAGACAATGAGAGGTTACCACCGCCCGGAGGCCATTACGGACCATATCCTTCCTCTCAGTCCTTCCCTCGGCCGTCATCGTCCAACCCAAATCCCTGTCAAGTGGTCTCAGCGTGGACAGCCCCGCCTAAACCTTTCCTAATTTGCCCAAATATATCTTGTTTGAGTCGGATAGGTATTTGTTCAGCCCCATATGAGATATCATTTGTCTGGGATGAGAGCCAAATGCTATATTAGATTTCCTTTCCACTGAAGCCAGACCCGTCTTGTCTTGGAGCGAAATGCGGGAATTATAACCCAGCCAATGGTGCATTATTTAATGTATCTAATCACAAATATTTATCCAGTAGGTCAGGGGTAGAGAAGAATATCCAGCCATGCTTGTAATAACCTGAGGCGCTTTGGCCATTATTTTTTGTGGGAGACTATTGATTTTTGGGTGCTTCACCAAGCTTTCTCTGTAGCTGTTCTAGACTTATAACCATTCTCTGTGCATGGTTCCAACATTATCTACCATGGCAGAATTACTGTGATGCCAGGATGCCTAATGATAACACAGTAACACATTCCGGAGCATGGGTACCTCCTGCTCTAGAGCTCTGTCCTTACAGGGAGGCAGCCTAGCCTCAAACATACCCGTCGGAGTAGTGAGTGAGTGAGTGAGTTTACATTTACGCAGAACTCAGCAATATTCCAGCTATATGGCCACGGTCTGTAAATAATCAAGTCTGGACAAGACAACCCAGTGCTCAACAGCATAAGCATCGACCTACGCAATTGGGGTACGATAACATGTGTCAACCAACTCAGCGAGCCTGACCATCCAAGTCATGTCACCTCTTACAATAAGCATTGGTTACTGAAGACCAATTCTTTCCCAGATCTTCATGGGTGACGTTCAGAGTGTTTGACGCCTCTAGACAGAGGACCATGTGGTACAGTGAAAGATAAACACATCCCTATCCATCCTGTGTTGTGTGTGCATGTTTCCTAACATGTAATGTTGGTTATTGCTCTCAATAAGCAGATCGATAATCAAAGCTGAGTAATCGTAAACACGACCACAAAACTCAATGTGGGCAATAGCAAGTTTTACAATCGAGGATACTTCCTGTTGAGCCTAGTGGTTAAAGCGTTGGCTCGTTACGCCGAAGCCCCGGGTTCGAATCCCCACATGGGTACAATGTGTGAAGCCCATTTCAGGTGTCCCCTGCCGTGATGTTGCTGGAATATTGCTAAAAGCGGCGTAAAACCAAACTGTCAGTCAGTCAGTCCTGTTGAGACATGCATACAAGTATTTTGATTACATTGCAGTTTTATGAGTCAGGAAACTGCGCCAGTTGTTTATGTCTTGAACATAACAATAAGAAACATACTTTCTAATGTTTAATTTGATTTTGATTTTTGATGAAAATCAATTAGTCTGCCGACCCCATCGATAATCATGTGCGCAAGTCAGATCGACCGATTGACTGATTATTCAATCAGTCACTCCAGCACGAGTAATATGCATGATTTTTGTGTTGTAAATATTCCTCCTGTGAACCACTCCTGCTGCTGAAGTTCAGCTCGGACAGAGTGATAGAAAGTTAAGCTTTCTTCTTTCCCAGACAAAATGCCAAAGTTGCAAAAAATATATTTTTAATCAAAGTTGGTGTGGTTTTTCTTATTCGGGATTGTTCAACCTCAGCATAAGATTTTCAAGCAACTTTTAGAGTTTTCAGTTGCTGCTTGTATATCCACCCCAGGGAAAACTAAGGTGATTGTGGAATAAAGAAAGCTCTCATCTGTACGGACAAAACAATTCAATTTGATTAAAGTGTACTTCATGCCTGTCTAGTCTGCAGACAAGCAGATCCTGTTGTTTTAAAGTGCTGCTGTTACAAAATTTACCTGCTTATGTTGCTAGAATTGTGGGCCGTTGGGTTTGTTTATTGGTTAAAGCATGCACTCGTTGTGCCAAAGACGTAATGTGTGAAACTCACTCACTCACTCACTCACTCACTCACTCACTCACTCACTCACTCACTCACTCCACTCACTCACTCACTCACTCACTCACTCACTCACTCACTCACTCACTCACTCACTCACTCACTCACTCACTCACTCACTCACTCCTCAGTGGTAAAGACTAAGACCTGCATTGATATTTTGTCCCTAATAGCTTGTTTTAATGACCCTCTTTTATATTACCTGGTTATTTTATGAATATTTGATGCTCTATCTGGATATCCGGTATGGAAGTTGCAAGAGCAAACCAACAGAGAATGATGTTGCTTTGTGGAAACTTCCTTCTTGCATTTGGCAGCAAAGCTGGCCCAGTTATATTCCGCACCATTGACTCTGTGGCTTCCTGGAGTCTTCTAGAAACTTCCCTGGGGTGGTTAAAGCATTGGTTCTTCTAGAAATTGTGGTTCAATCCCCATGGGTACAATGTGTGAAGCCCATTTCTGGTGTCCCCCGGCGTGATGTTGCTGGAATCTTGCTCAAAGCGGCGAACCAAAGTCAGTCAGTCTAGAAAATTGTGATAACCTAACAAAGTCAATGCTATGGATACCTAAGTTGTGTGTTAGTTGTGTGCTGTAGTTGTGGAGGTACATCTTGTGGTACTTTTTTGAACTGCCGATTCTTTTTAGGCCAGACCAATTTATTTTCCTGTTTTATGGATCCGATCAATTAAAGAAATATTGCCCGCTCAATACATAAAATCCTAATGTGGAGTTAGACACTAAAACACCGGAATCTGTTCTCAGAGACTTTAAACAATATTTGTGTTAAAAATCAGTGGTTCAAGCACCTCAGCGAGTGTGAACTTAAAAAACAATGCCTTTGAAAAACTCATGTGGGTTTTTGCTTTGACTGATGATTTTTATAAATATTTTTTTCCCTTCTGCCTTTAGGTTTTCCGAGG